TGCTTCCCTCCTCCTCTGACCCATTTCCTGAGGGGGGGGAAACCCTGCGGCATGTTGGGAGTCTGTGGGGTTCAGGGGACTGAAAGAGGTGTATAGATCTGTGTATCATGAGAAGAGCCTCAGCCCTCCATCATGACCGGAGCTTATGAATACAGCCAGTGAACGGCCGAGGGACAGAGAGCCATTCAGCGCCTGAAACTGGACCCCAGATAGAGGACCACTTCTAAAGTGACTTCACTCCTCTGCAACAACCGCTCTTTGTGGTCCCTTTTGCTCTCGTGATGAAGACCCAACGCCTTCCCCCCCCAAGTCCGACATGGAGGTGAATCACCCGTCAATGTTCAAAGCTGATTTTATCCCTCGCTTGTGACTCAGATCTCATGTTTTGTGGTGAACAACACAGAGCTGCATGGACACGAGGAGCTCCACACAGCTTATGAACATCACCATGGCTACATGTAAATCTGTTTTTCTATTTATTATCATAGACACAACAATTACAGGGAAGTTAATCTTAGATCTAAGGCTCCATCTAAAAATACTCACTAAGAAAAACATGTCATAAAAAAAACGAAATCAAACGTTTAATAAATACAATAATATATATTTGTGGTAGAAAATAATATCTGCAGATGTAACTATCTAATATCTGTTTGTGTATTTGACAAATGATTTGATTTACCATTTAAACATTTATTTTCATGTTATTATTCATTTAAAAAAAGAATCTAAGACATAAAATAAGGCCGAAAGTAAAAATATGTGGACAAAATATATAAGAAAAATGTAATAAATACAATATTTTTGCGGTAGAAATAATATTTGCACATGTCAATAATAACTGCGTCTGTGTGTGTTTTTGTTGTTGACTTCAATACAAGCAATGTTTTATTTGCTTTTGTTTAATGTCATTAGATAAAATAATACAAGGTGTATACAAAATATATTATGCGTACACATTTTATTTGATTAGCTTATGACCGCGTGAATGTTCCCATGGTTTTTTATTTAATATATTAATATACATTGTATATTTTATTTTCATAAATGTTCATATTCTTCATTTGTTTTAAATTCTCAATAATCAGATTATTTGTATGTTATTTATGTAATTATTGGTTTACTTTCTCTTTCCTTTGTCGTAATTACAGTCTGTAGTTTAGTTGATGGCTTTATTTGACGAGCATATTATTTAATGTGTGATTGTTTTTGTATTGCTTGATTTTAATTTGTCTTTAACTATATTTATTTGTTGTTCTTTTCTTTTCGCTATCTCTGTAAAGCGACTTTGAGCACCTGTAAAAGCGCTAACAAAATAAATCTATTATTATTATTATATTATGGAGGCGTGTGGCGCAGTGGACTAATGCGTTGGTGTTGGGATCAGGGGAGCACAGGTTCAAACCCCACTGCAGTCAGCATGTCGTTGTGTCCCAGAGACACTTCACCCCAAAATTGCTCCTGTATTAGTATGTAAGTCGCTTTGGATAAAAGCGTCTAACAAGTAACATGTAATGTAATATTAATAACTTGAAAACCTGAGCGAGCCAGAGAAGCTTATTTCTGTCCGTATTCTCTAGTAGCAATAGTTAGGGCTTATACATTTGAAAGATAAGTTAAATACAAAATATCAAGATACAAACAGAGCCTGCGCTACAGAGAAACAGCTTATATAATATCAATAATAGCATGACAACAAACTCACAACTGTGAAAGTATGACCTCGACTTTATGTCCCTGAATAAAAGCCTTAATATGTTAAAGGACCCTTTGACAGATAACCACACAGAGGCAGAATGGGGGTACATTTTGAGAAGTATTTATTTAGAGAGGTAAGGTAAACCGGTAAACAACAAGTCTCTCTCTCATCCCCTGAGGCCTGCACCACGAGGGGGGAATAAGTGGGTCAAGCAGCCATCTTTGTTTGGTCTTATCTCAAGTTTTCCGGTATCACAGAGCTGGCTCACTTACAGGCGGTGTAAATCACCATGGTAGCCTAACCTATGCTCCGGAGCAGGTTACCTTCAGAGGAGAAGATAACGACCTGAAACCAGTCCAACTGATGCAATGAGATCACTCTAAATACACAGCTATACATCCTACAGGTTCCTGATCATATACTGACTTCATGATTAAGTGACCATAAACAATCAATGCCTCTGCAGATAGCTGTTACACATTTTACATTTGTACACTTGAAAACAAGTCTTCTAACAAACAAAAGGGATAGTTTACACTAAATAACTCATGTTGATTGAAGCTGCTATTGGATTGCAATGCTTCTCCCCTTCCCAACACCTCCAGAGATGCTTTTACAAGTTTACTCCATCACTGTAGCTCAACACAACATGAGGCAACTTTGTGATAATAACAGACAGAGGGTGAAAAGAGGTGCTGCAGCACAGGCAGTATGAGAAAAATAAAGAGCTTTTTGAACATTAAAGCATGGAGACATGTCACAGTAGAGACACTACATACTGATATACACCTGAACATCAGCAGAATATGGCCCGTTAATTCCAATTCCAATACTAACCGACCTCCAACCTACCAAACACAGAGCAGTTTCTCACTGAAAGGGCATCATCAGCCGGGTGACTTAAACTTTTCACACCTGCCCTGAAGTGGAAACCCCCAGCAGCCAACACACACACAACTAACCCAGTTAACCATGACAACACACACAGATAAAGTCTGTGGCTGTGAAGTGTCTGGGAGCAGCCCATCAAACTGTCTCCATCACATGCGGAGGGTGTGTGGGGGTGTGTGTGTGTGTGTGTGTGTGTGTGTGTTGGCTGGAGGGACAATACAATCAGTGTGCACTAATAATTCAATTAAGAGCAGATTAAGGCAATAGTCTGGTCCCATTACTGCTCCGTGTAAACAGTTTAAACACATTATTTCACATGAGTAACGATCTAAATTGGGCCACATCTAACCAGATTAACAAAGCTGGGTTACTCATCAATCTTTGAATTAAAGTTTAAAGACATAATGCAGCACTTTGGCGTTTTAAAGAAAGATCAATATCATATTAAAATCATCATAATCATGTTAAAATATAAGGTCCAGGTTTTGAAACTAACTTTTTTGTCCAACTGCCACGAATCTACCACCTAAATGTATGACCATGGGGTTTTTTGGCTGTTGAAGGAAGTAATTCTAGCAGCCACCTGAATATTTTATCATCCAATTACTATAAGTCGCTATTTTTATCCCTTATTTGGTCCTACACTTTGTTGTAAAATGTCCAAACATGGAGAACCGAACATCGTTATCCCTGAATAATCAGAAAAGGTCTTAATTAGGGGAAGGCAAATGTTTGTTATCACTAAAGCAGCTTCCAGTGAAATCATATTGTGATATGAGTTATTTAAGTAACATTTTGACACATTTTAGCTGTTAAAATTAATGATCTTGTGTCACACCATGCATAGCGCTGAAACACGCTTTTAAAATATGTTACATTTCTGTTAACTTTCTACACGGGTTCCTTCAATAGATTTTGTATGTAAGCCACAAAAATGATAATGCATCTCATATTGTGATCATTTTCTCTTAGTAGATGATGTCCTTTACAAAGGGGATATCATATATTAAGGTTTAAAATGGATAAACAGTTCCTTTGTTCCCATAAACGTAATGTTATATTTAATAACATTTAGCTGATGTGGGGTTTTAACAGGCAAGGCAACCCACTATAAAAACAGCATTAAACTATATATTCATATTGTCATATTGATTTCACCCATATCACCCAGCTCTGATTGACAGCTTGAACTGGGACCCTCCACTTCATGTCAGCTTTAATCCACTCAGACTGAACTTTCTCCAGGTTTTAGGTCAACGTGTGCGTGTGGAGAAGGGGTGTCTAGAAGCTTTTACAATGAGTGGACAGTTGCCCACAAAAAAGGGCCAACTTTCAAGTTTCAAATGGGGAACAATAGCAGCGTCTGTGGGGACAGATGCTCCGGAGGGACGGTGCATGCTAATCAGTTTGTGAGGCTGCAACAAAAGAGGCCAGCTGGACGGCCTGACAACCACAACCACTGCTGGAGAAGTGTTTGGACCACGGACTGCAGATATACACAAAGTAAAAAGTATAAATACACTTGGCTATACTGTGTAAACACCCCTGAAAAAAAACAGTACATTCAGAATTAATTACCCTATATACTTGAACCAAATGAACAAACATTACGGACTGTTTGAGAATATTTTACAGTGGTGGAAGAAGTATTCAGATTCTATACTTAAGTGAAAATACTCCTCTACAAGTAATAGTGTTGCATTCAAAACCGTACTTAAGTCGAAGTCTTGGTTGTTATTATAACCTAAATGTACTTTAGGTATTAATTGTAGTAGTAGTCCCTTTTGCAAATGTTCCCAGACAGTTTTACTATTTATATTTGATTTGATATAGCTGATCCAAAAAGGGGTTTAAAATGTTTATTTAGCTTAAGAAGAAAATACTTCATCCCTCAGTATTCTTAGAACATTGGATATTCATCAATCTGAAATATAACTTTAGCTGTCGGACAAATAAAGTGGAGTAAAAAGTACAACAATCCCCCTTTTAAAGATAAAGTAAAGAACAGTTACCTCACATGTGTTGAATACTTGAGTAAATGTACTTAGTTACCAGTGGTGTAAAGTAACTAAGTGCATTTACTCAAGTACTGTTCTTAAGTACAACTTTAAGAGACTTGTCCTTTAATTGAGTATTTCAATTGTTCTACTGCAACATTTTTGAATGCAGGACTTTTACTGTAACAGAGTATTCCTACACTCTGGTACTACTAACCTAAGCTTAAACATTAAAGTAGGGGAGTAAAAACTACAATATTTCCCTTTAAATTAGTATTAGTATAAAGTGGCACTTAAAGGAAATACTTCATATGTGTACTTAAGAACAGTACTTGAGTGCATGTTACTTCCACACTGCAGTTGGTAACGTTGTTAAAAATGTAGTCAAACAACTTTTTAGACACCAAACTCACCAAAGTTACGGTCGTCCTAAAGCCGTTTCATCACCGGGGAGTTTCCGTTCCGGTTACCGACGGTGTTAGCTGTTTCTGGTGGTAAATGTTCCGGTAGTTTGATAGTTTTAATCGGCAGAGGACTCTTTAACACAAACAGAGAGAGGTCTGACTCTCAACTGACACCAAATGATCTGCGTGGAACCGAGGGAACTCTACCTACTTCCGGTACGCATTTCAAAATAAAGCTAGTAAATCCAGTGAAAGCATTTCAATATACAGTAAAGAGAAAGGTGATGAAGGCACACAGTAGCCTACTGATATTAAACTGCTTAAAAACATTAAGACGTTTATGGTTACACAGCTTTAAATCAGTAAAATCATCGTATGATGCTTTTTTATTATAATTTTTTTAATCTGTAATTTTCTTTTTGTATACATGCTGTTTAGGTAACATTAAGCTGTCTTTGGCTCTTTTCTGCTGTAACAATGTACATTTCCCCTCTGTGGGACTATAACGCAGCGTCCACACGGCGGCGTGCGTTGAAGCTTGCCGGTGGGCGTGTCTGAAACTCGACCAACAACCAATCACATGAATCTCCCGCCCCGGACACACAAGCACGCGGTTTGATTGGCTAGAGCTTGTACTGGCATATGATTCGATTGGCTGACGCTTCCGCCGAAGCTTCAAAAGTTGAACATTGCTCAACTTTTGCAGCGAGCAACGCTTTTGCAGCGAGCAACGCTTTTGAAGCTACGCTTCGCTCCCACAATGCAGTTTGGCGAAACGTGATGTCACCCCATTCAAAGTGAATGGGCAGAAGCGTTGAAGCTTCAATGCACGCCGCTGTGTGGACGGGCCGTAACGGTACGTCCACACGGCAGCGTCGCGTGCTTCAACGGAGACGCTTCCCATTCACTTTGCATTGGGTGAGGTCACACTTTGCCGAACTGCATTCTAGTTCCAAGCTTCAACGCGACGCTGCCGTGTGCTTCAACGGAGACGCTTCCCATTCACTTTGAATGGGGTGACGTCACACTTTGCCGAACTGCATTGTGGTTCCGTCGCTTCGCTTTGACTCCGTTGCTCGCTTTGAAAGTTGAGAAAAGTTCAACTTTGGCCGTGTGGACGTACCGGAACGGAGCTTGCTGGTGGGCGTGTCTGGCGTGCGACCAACAACCAATCACATTAATAATAATAATAATAATAATACATTTAATTTTTATAGCGCTTTTCTCGAACCCAAAGACGCTTTACATTCTCTCTACATTCTTATAATCTCCTGCCCCGGACACACAAGCACGCGGTTTGATTGGCTAGCGCTTGTACTGGCATATGATTTGATTGGCTGGCGCTTCCGTCGACACTTGAAAAGTTGAACTTTTCTCAACTTTCGAAGCGAGCAAAGCGAAGCGACGGAACCACAATGCAGTTCGGCAAAGCGTGACGTCACCCCATTCAAAGTGAATGGGAAGCATCTCCGTTGAAGCACGTGACGCTGCCGTGAGAACTACCGTAAAGGTCTTCTGATTCTGATTATAGCAGATATATTATGTGTTGTATATATTATATTATATTGTCAGTAAAGTCACCAAGTAGATTTACTCAAGTTCTTTACTTAAATACAACTTTCAGGTACTTGTACTTTACTTGAGTATTTCAATTGTTTTGCTACTTTGTACTTCTACTCCACAACAATTCAGAGATACATTGTGTACTTTAACACAAGATAAAACTTTAAGATAAAACTGAGGTAATGGTTTTTGGAGCCAAGGCAGAACGTATAAAAGTTAGCGCTGAGCTTCAGTCTGCAATGTTCAAAACAACAGATAAAGCCAGAAATCTAGGTGTAGTCATGGACTCTGACCTGAGTTTCAACAGTCACATTAAAACAGTTACTTAATCAGCCTACTATCACCTAAAGAACATATCTAGGATTAAAGGACTAATGTCACAGCAGGATTTGGAAAAACTTGTCCATGCTTTTATCTTCAGTAGACTGGACTACTGTAATGGTGTCTTTGCAGGTCTCACTAAAAAATCTATTAGAAAGCTGCAGCTAATTCAGAACGCTGCTGCTCGAGTCCTCACTAACACTAAGAAAGTAGATCACATCACTCCTGTTCTGAAGTCCTTACACTGGCTTCCTGTGTGTCAAAGAATAGATTTCAAAATACTGCTGCTGGTTTATAAAGCTTTGAATGGTTTAGGCCCAAAATACATGTCTGACCTACTGCTAAATTATGAACCATCCAGATCTCTCAGGTCTTCAGGGACTGGTCAGCTTTCTGTCCCCAGAGTCAGAACTAAACATGGAGAAGCAGCATTCAGTTATTAATATCTGGAACAAACTCCCAGAAACCTGCAGGTCCGCTGCAACTCTTACTACTTTTAAATCCAGGCTGAAGACTTTTCTTTTTGTCGCTGCTTTTAATTGAACTATTCACATCTTAAACTGCACTGTAACTTTTAACTTTTATCCATGTATTCTTTCTTTTAATGTTTATTTTATTATCTTTTCTTTTTAATGACTGATTTTAAATGCCATTTTTAAAATGTCTTCCATTTTTGTAAAGCACTTTGAATTGCCTTGTGTTGAAAGGTGCTATATAAATAAACTTGCCTTGCCTTGCCTTGCCTTTAACGCCACTAGATTTATTTAATATCTTTAGATACTTTGCAGATTTTGTTTACTTAAATAAGTCATTTTACTTATGTACAAGATCTAAGTACTTCTGCCACTTCTGTTTATTATTCAATAGTGAAGAAATTGTCTTTAACAATAAAAGTTCTCCAATGCCTCTATTTACTTGGGTAATGTTACACTAATGTTACAAAATATATATATATATATAATGCTTCTCCTTGTTTTCTCACTTTTTAACCAACAAGTCAGCAGTAATATTTGTTTTGTTAGTCATTTGTTTTTCAACCTCAAATGTGTATCAAAAAGGTAAGACTGATTTTAATGTTGCTCTGATCTTTTTTCATGGCCAATGAGGCTAATCTCCGGCAGTGGTTCAGTCAGTAGGGGCTTGGACTGTGAGCCGTAGGGTCGCTGGTTCAAGTCCCCGACCAGACCTACAATATGGAGTGTGTCCTGCTACTTGGAGAGGTCCTAGTTCACCTCCTGGGCCCTGCCGTGGTGCCCTTGAGCAAGGCACCGGACATCCCCCTTCCCCCCCACTCCCATTGCTCCCCGGGCGCTGTACAATAGCTGCCCACTGCTCCTAGTACTAGACTCCTGGTACTAGGATGGGTTAAAAGCAGAGAACAAATGTCACTGTGTGTGCTGTGTGCTCTGCATGTGAGACCATTAAAGAGGGTCTCATCCCTCCCAATTCAATCTTTAATAAAAATACATGCTTTTCTTTCTTGATTATTTCCAAAATGAGTAAAAGCAAATTGAAATGGCTTTGTAAATGTCGCTTGGCTAGTTTCGTTTTACAACTGCAGATAATGTTCTGATCTCGTAAATCCATGTCTGCTCAAGATGCTTATTGTTTTCAAAATGAAATAAATCAATGATCAAGAATACTGCTGCAATCCATTAACTTCCCATAAGCTTTGTTGCTGTCATAATAATTAAGGTCTATTCTGAAATAAACTGAACTTGTTACAGCATGAAGAACATACCGGTATGTTACATAAGAAATAGGAGTCTGGGACCCTATCGAAGTGTTCTTACTACTTTTAAATCCAGGCTGAAGATTTTTCTTTTTGCCGCTGCTTTTAATTGATATATTACAATTGTGCAAATGGTTTAGGAGTCGGGGACCCTATCGAAGTGTTAAAAATAGGATTCGGGGATCCTATCGAAGTGTTAAAAATAGGAGTCAGGGACCCTATCGGAAAGGAGAAAAACGAAGAATAGGGCAAGAAATTAGTGTAAAGAGCAAAGGATCATATCTTAAACTGCACTGTAACTTTTATTCATGTATTTTTTCTTTTAATGTTTATTTTATTATCTTTGCTTTTTAATGACTGTTTTTAAATGCCATTTTCTGAATGTCTTTCATTTTTGTAAAGCACTTTGAATTGCCTTGTGTTGAAAGGTGCTATATAAATAAACTTGCCTTGCCTTATGTACTTTTTCATAGCTTACACACATACCTACTGTACAGTTTGCTAACATGAAAAGCAGGACTAGCAGGGCAGTTCAACTATTAAAGTCTTAGCTCCTGCAAAATGAGTCACACCCTTAAAGCTGACACATGTTATGACACTGAGTCACTTTCTTAGAGTACAGTCTACTTGAAGGATAGTTTAAATAGTACATTTTTGCCTGTTCCCCCACTAACTTTCCACTAAAAAGTAACAAAATAAATAAAGGGTACATTGTATTGTTTTCATTCATTTCATTCTTGCAGGCCATCGAGTGTTAAAGTCGTGAAATCACTGTAAAGTTGGCTACATGTGGTTTTTAGAGAGTTAAGGCCTTAAAACAACTAACTTATTTGATGAAATGATTTAAATTATGTGTAAAAAGTAGTTTGAACATTTATAGTGAATATTTTGAAAAAACTCACTGTATTAAATTATATAAAATGCCTTTAGTGAGATAAAACAATTTGGGCGTTGAGGTTAATATATATATATATATATGTATATAGCCTGTGTTGTATATTTATACACACAAATGAACAACCTTGTGTGTGTCAAATAACAAGTTGTATTGTAGTGTTTATTTTAGTGTTGTTTTATGCTTATCCACATTTTGATTTCAGAGCACAGGAGAATGCTGGGCACAACATAAAGCTCAACAGTGAAGCTGGCAATGCTGAACAAAACCATCTAGAGTTATAATATTTATTCAGCTGAAAAAGTCAAAGCTCTACGGAAATGTAATTAAAAATACATAAGCATTTCAGGTAGAAATCAGCATTTTATATAGAAATTCACAAATATAAGAAATGAAACCTAAAAGAGATGTTACAAAATGTATACCTCTGGTGGCTGGCATAGTAGAACTAGGTGAACAAAATGGTGACAACAATTTTTAATACCATTTATATAGATTAAAAGGTAATATAATATTGATTACAATGATTCTATTAAAAAATCCACCAAACATGATCAACAGAAAAGCCCTATGAAGGCATGTTATGGTTTGAAAAAAAGTTGAGGATGGGGTCCAGACAGTTAAATCAGGAGAGACTTAATTTTGTTTAAAGAACATTTATTGACACATGCCATATGATAAATGTCAAGTCTTTGGCGATTAGACCCCGATCCTGAAATCGTATATCTAAAGGGGGAAATGTTCTTATTATACATCCATGGCATTTTGGGGAGCGTGGTTAAAGTTGTGCATGCGCTATGAGCGCACATACGGGTACTTCTCAGGCATGACGGGTAATCTGTGACGTTTCGCTCTCTCAAAATTTGGGCCATTTTATCATCATGCGCCAATGAGCAACTCTCATAGGAATGAATGAGGCCCCACCTCCCACCCACGCTGTATCCAGTTCTTATTATACATCCATATGCCACCCACCACCTGGGAGACCCAAAGAGACACGAGGACCCGGTCCAGACCCTCAGGTGAGCTCCGTTCTTATTACCTGTTGTTACCTAAACGTGGTGTTTTTCTGAATGGGGCTTCTGAATGGGGAACAGTCTAAAGACACGTGATGTGGGTACTTTCACTCTACGAAGGCGCTAGAAAGAGAGGAAGGCGGGTAAATTAAACTTTCCCGAATGAACTTAAAGTTATTCTTAGTTTGAATATAATATATACACATGTTAGGCTTTTATAACCGGACTTACTATATGTAATATGCACACTAATCGACCACATGTTGAGATAAACGTGACTTTTCTGTCTGCTTTTATTTTTTAGATTTGACTTATTCTGTTCAGAAACACTGCTGCTGTTCTAAAGATTAATAATAACAACGATTGTAAACAAGACAGATTTAATTTATTGTAAAAAAGCGTGTGGGTTATGTTTCATTTACTGTTGTAGGCTATAAATAGTAGGAGTTGATGTTGACATAAACAGACATCATAATCTAAAAAGTTGATTTTCTATTGTATGTGTGTAGAAAAAAAAGTCGATACTGTCGCAACCGCTCTTGTTTATCTGTATTTGTTTTAAACACATGGTTATAACAATAATGACCAAGTTATAAGTCATAATATAATGAGACAATGTTTATATTAGATACAATTTAGTCATTATCTCAACCTTTTATTTATACGTCTCGACCTATCAAACAAAAATCACTCACATGAATATTAGTTTACAAGTTTGATCACAGAGCTTTGACAGAAATATAACGTTTTTTAATGATGCTCTTAGTTATCTGTCGTCAAATCATTAATACTAATATAGCCGAACTGTCAGTTGGAGTCCAAATCGCACTAAAAGTATTCCGCATGTTATAACCATAGACTGTATGTTATAACAAACCCATCTGGATTACATTTAGCCGCCAAATAGAAGAGAAATTTGGCGGAATTAAAGAGGAAACACTACACAGCAGTTGGTTCCTCCCATGAGTTCCTCCATGTGGAGTTTACTGAAAGTAACGTAGTGCAACGTGCCGCGTCACTACCTGCAGTTTACACACGTGATCTCTGTTATCGATGAATACACACTTATAAAGGAGGAATTAATTACACTCTACCCAAACGGACTCTTTTAAGTAAATGAAATAGTTAATAGTAAGATATATAGGACTATAAACTATTAGGTTTTATCGTTTTTTATATTCATGTATTTTCTAGTTTTCCTTCTTGTAATTTGTATTATTCTTCTTATTAAAATATGTTGTTACTGTTTTATTTAATATATAGGTTTCAATTTTTTATTGTATTTATTCATTTTGTCTTACAGTATATGCCTTCCTTTATTTTACCGAGAGGGATCATTATTTGTTGTTATTATTATTATTGTTTTCCTATCACACCTTTTACCTCCTTGTGTCCCTTGAACTGTTATATATTTTTTGTCAGTCCATTAAAAATCTGCATTATTATTATTTTACTTAACTCAAAGTATAAGATTATAGTAAAAAGAAGAGTAAAACAAATACAATTTCATATACAAAACACATATCAGTTTTACAATATGATGCAATGTTACATTACAATGTGTTTTTAAAATAAAATCAGCAGATTAAAACAGTCATTATGTATCAGTAATACTAATATATATACACAATTTCTACTAGAAAACTCTTAATATATGCTAAATGAGTCTCTCACTTCAACAATCCTTACTGTACTTAAAAATAATAATACAGTTGTTTGTAAAATGGAGTAGTTTTAGATATTGTTGCTCCTAATAGAGTGCCACAGTGACGCGTCCTAAAACCCGGAAGTAAGTTAGCATTGTACCACTTCCGGTTCCTTCGACAAAAAAGCAATGCAATTTCTCCATAGGGTTTTGGAAAATAGCTGGAACTAAGGTCTGTGGTTGAGACACATTTAAGAGACGGATCACGTTTTGTTCTATGACATTAAATCCATCAGCAGTGACCCCACTGGTGATTTCTGAAGAGTTGACGTGTCTGAAAAACGATGGTTGTTAACAAGTGGCTGAATAGGACTACAGAAGTTGTCGAGGCCGTTGTACGTCATTACGCCGAACACGTAAACACTCCCTCTAAGTTTGTTTGCCCGTGTTCTGCTTGAAAGCAAGTACCTGCCTCCTGCAGACTGTTCAAACAAACGCTTCAACTCGTACACTTTAGAATCTGTATTTTTTAATATGGATCTTAAGTTGGGCTGTGCAATTAATCGTATTTTAATCACAATTACGATTTCGACCTGCCACAATTACAAAAACAACATAATCGAAAAAAACGATTATTTTGCTTTGCTAGGTTGTGACATATTTGATCTAATTTATTTTAGTCTAATTTATTTTTATTTATCATATTTATATATGTTTAGTAGCTTGTGGAAGTGCGCTCCAAAATATTTGTTGATCTTGTTTATTGGTATTTATTATTTTGATATCATTTATTTTTGTATTGGTTTTTCAGTTTAATTATACGTTCAGGGTAATCAACAGTTCAAATTATTATTTGTATTTGTTTTAAAGTTCAATAAATGGATGTTTTCAAAGTCAATGAATAATCGTATTTAATAATCGTGATATCAATTATTGACCAAAATAATCGTGATTATGATTTTTGCCATAATCGCACAGCCCTAATCTTAAATTGGCGTGACGTTGAAGTCGTGCGACCCTGCTGTACTCGGCTGTAGTTCGTTTATAGCATAACGTTAGCATTTTGGTCAACCACAGACCTTATTTCCAGCTATTTTCCAAAATCCTATGGAGAAATTTAATTGCGTTTTTTGTCGAGGGAACCGGAAGGAGTTTACTTCCGGGTTTTAGGACGCGTCACTGCACCACTCTATAAAGTAAATACTGTATAACACTGCACACTCACTGCAAAGGTTAGCATTGGTATTTCTTGTAGGTCTAATAATCATTTGACGTACCACCATGGATGCTAAAGACTATAGTAAATGAGTCAGTTGATGAAAACATGTCCTGTAAAGTTTAAACAAGTCCTGCTGGCTTTTTTTTAAAGGCTTCTCTCGACTTTAGTGCAGGAAGGTGACAGAAGCAACAGGATGACGATGAGTCCCCCCGCAGATCGGTGAGTTGGCTTTGTTTTTACTTTTGGATATATAAGCTAAATGTGTAAAGATCGGGGTTGTAAAAGTGTTTTTGTTTCCGCAGCGGCCAGGCTGTAGGCCTCATCATCTTCGTGCTCGGTTTGGGAACTCTGCTGCCGTGGAACTTCTTCCTGACGGCCTCAGAGGTTTCTACAACTCCTTCTTCTTCATGATAAAACATTGAGGGATTATTTAGCAAAAACACATAAAAAAACAACATGAATTTTACTTTGCACTTTGGTTGGTAAATTAATTGTAAGAAAGGCTTATTTATTTTGCAAATCAACACAAATTGAGCTTCATGTGTGCTAGAAATCTGAATCAACTTGGTGTTAAAAAGGTCAGAAAATAGTGAAAAATGTCCTTTCCATTTTCCTCATGGTCCAAGGTTTTTACATTTTTTGTTTTATCAGTTCAAAACCCATAATGATGCAGTTCAATTTGAAATACAATATTTAAAAAGCAGGACATCTCCATATTTCAGAGGCTGAAAACAGACTTATTTGCAACTTAAAAATCAACAAATAATTGAGATAGTAGTAATAATAATATATTAAAGTGGACCTATCATGCTATATTTGAATAATATAGTGTAGGACCATACCTATGTAAGACATATTTATACTTTTTTTTTTTAAATACCAAACAGATCATGCATTTTAGCCATGCCTCATTTTGCTCAATTTGACATTTTGTAGCTCTGTTTTTGCAAGGGCTGATTCAGTGAGAACAGCACCATCTACTGGCCTGGCATATGTACTACAGCGTCTCCAGCGCTTTCGAACGGCAATGGTCGTGGCTGTCTCCTCCTGATTGGTGGAGTTGGCCCAATAGCCGTAGTGCCACCGTCCTGACGTCAGGACAGTGTTCAAATCTGGATCAGTTTTTATCAGATCCGTTGCAGCCCCTTTTTTAGAGATTTGGGTATGGAGGAAAATAGAGAGGGTTGTGTTTTCTGACACTTGGTGAGTTCCCTGGAACATCGGGGACACATATTCATGTAGAAAAGACGTACAAAAGTGCATTTTGCATGATAGGTCCCCTTTAAATTGATATAGCGCCTTTCAGGGGACCCAATGATCGCATGAAAACAGGAGTAAAACAAAAAACAGTCGGACAAACAGTCAGACAGACAAAACAACAAATATAGTATATAGTACACACAGTTTCCCCCTAACTGATTATTATATTATTAAATATTAACATGTTAAAATGTTTGTTTCCTCTTTGTTATAGTACTTCAACCAGCGCCTCGAATCAACCATCACCTCCAATGGCACCTCAGGCGTCGCTGCTAAAGACTACAACTACGACAGCTGGATGGCCTTGCTCTCCCAGCTGCCCCTGCTGCTCTTCACGCTGCTCAACTCCTTCCTGCATCACTGGTGAGCTCCTGCAGCAGATTAATTTACATGAGGCTGGAGCCTGGACACGTATAAGCATGTACATGTCGGCCAGGAGGGTTGAGCTATAGGTCGTCATTGTTCAGTGTTGGAAGAAGTACTCAGATCATGTACTCAAGTGGTTGGAAAAAGTCTTGCATTTCAAATATGACTTTGTACAAAAGTATTAGCATCCAAATATACTTAAAAGACCAAATACTCGTTATGTTTAAAAGCCCATTTCAGAATCATATATATACAGGGTGTCTTAAAAAGTATTAAAAGTTGATAAATCAATTTAGCGAAAATGAAGGCTATTAAAAAGTATTAAACGGCATTTTCCAAGTTATTAAATCTTGTAGCTTGTTTTCAATAAGTATATAAATTGTCCAAAGAGGTTGTATTCTACAGTTTGCCTGAATGTAATGATTGCGTAGGTGTGTAGTGTGATTCTGTGTAGTTTATTTATGGCATCCCGTTGGATTTGACGTCATCTGAACAGGACATCGCGCGCTCACTGCTTGATAGCGCGCGAAGGTCCGTTTACGCCGGTTGTTAAACAACATCGTTATGGGGAAATGCAAGTCTGCGTCCAAATGGTTGGAAGATAAGGAGGAAGGACAATCAATACTGTATATAGTCAATGTGAGGTAAAGTGTGTCGCCAATGTAACCGGTTAAAACTCAAAGTGGCGATGAGGTCTTAAAATGTATGGAAAGGGTCTTAAAGGTATTACATTTGACTTCAGGATTCCTGCATATACCCTGATATTAAACTACTGTCTTTTTATTTATTTGTCTTACATTAAATGTGTCTCACTCACAGCAGGTGAGGCTAAGGTATATTAACCTTTTAATTTGATGTCCATTTTTATTTATTAAAAAGAGGCCCTTTATTCGTGTTAGCCCAAAATCTGAATATGTAAATTAACCAGTAACTAAACCTTTAGATAAGAGAAGTAAGTACGTTGTTGAGTAGAAGTTGTAACCTGTATGGATTTGAACCCAAGAGCACGACTCAGATACAGCCAATGTTCAAAAGGTTCAGTTTATTCAAGTCAGGGTCAAAAACAAATCCAATAAAGGGGGGCAGGCAGAAAAGGGCTTAGAACCAGGCGATCCGTCAAACAGGCAATACATCCAATCGGGGGGCAGGCAGGAAACTCAAGGTCCAAAATCAGGCAGGCTCAAAACGGGGCTGAACAGGTAACTGGCAAATACAACCGGAACCGCTGGAGAGCTTGGCAGAGGACCAGTGAGAGTGAGGTGGTATATATGCTGTGGAGTTTACGAGGGAATGAGTAGCAGGTGAGGGGAATGAGCGGATTGCAAGAGCTGGGAGGAAGGCAGGATCTGAAAGGACAGGAGAGTTTATTGATATGCAAAACCAAAACCTATGAATGTGTTGAACTTGTGACAGAAGTATAATGTAGGATAAACTGGGAACGTTAGTACAATTACCTCAAAACAGACTTATGTACAGTATTTGAGTAAATGTACTTTATCCTACATCCCACCATTGCCATTTGTATATCTCACACTGCAGTAATATGTAGTGAGACTTTTACCTTCTGGAGTCCACATCTGATTTTCCCCTTAGTGACAGTAAAGTGTATTTTGTCCTATGAAGTAACTGTTGATGTCTCCTCTCTTGTCTCTCTGCAGGGTGAAACCTCGTCTCCGTGTCGCCTTCAGTTTCGTCGTCATCTTCCTCCTCTTCTCCCTCAACGCCGCTCTGGTTCGAGTCCCGATGCAGCCGGACACCTTCTTCTCCGTCACCATGGCCACCATCTGGTTCATCAACAGTAGGTCATATTATTATTTAGTAAAATAATGGATTCTTGTTTGTATAAATGAATAAATAATGGTCGATATGTATCAACTCTATCAGATCTTTCATGTATTATAATGAAAAAATAAGTAAAATTATTAATTAGAAAATTAATCTGCAATTACTGTATATCCTTTAAAGGTCTCTATAATATTACTCTGATGCAAAGATTTTAATGTGTGTGTGTGTGTGTGTGTGTGTGTGTGTGTGTGTGTGTGTGTGTGGTGTGTGTGTGTGTGTGTGTGCGCGTGTGCGTGTGTGTGTGTGTGTGTGTGTGTGTGTGTGTGTGTGTGTGTGTAGTGGCCAGTGCGGTGCTGCAGGGCTCTCTGTTCGGGGTGGTGGGTCAGTTCCCCCCTCGGTACAGCACTCTGTTTATGAGCGGTCAGGGTCTGGCCGGACTCTTCGCTGCACTCGCCATGCTCTTCTCCATCTTAAGTGAGTAACAACCACACCTAACAATACATACTACATACATGTGACAAACTGCCATTTGCCCATGACTCGTGAGATTACTACAAAATGCATAACATACT